TCCAGGGCATCATTACAGTGGAAAATGTACCTGTATGCCGCAAAAATCATAGATCCATTCTCCCTTCGAAGCACCATGCCAATCGAAGCACGACCATCCTGGCACGAGAATGAACCGTCTACTGACAACGCAACCCATCCCATAGGCGGAGGAGGCCAAGGCGTGGGGTATTCTGTAGTTTTTACGCACTTTGGTCAACTGTCCTCGTACAACGACACCTTCCCTTTGATGATTTCCTCCATGCTATAGTTCCTTACCAAATTTAGTGACTTATAATAACTGTTAAGATAATCTACGGTTACCTCAACTGGGTCTCATTCTTCCCGTGAGTTATATCATTTCGGAGTTGCCAAATACGCTAAATCATCATAATTACCAAGTCCATGGTCTTGTTTGAACATTTTGAAAGTAGCTGCATTACCAAGTCCTTACCAGAGTCCACTAGTAGTGAGTCATTAGGCAACGACCAGATTGCACGTAAGCCCTCCCAAACACGTCGGGCGTGCATGCATGAAAACTGCTTTCAATCTCCGCTCCAAAAATAGGACATGATCTCTGTATATGAATACGACGATGCGCTTTGCCTAGGTTAGTTGCCAACGCACCCGTCGCCGTCTTCCATGCCATAATACGCATCTTGAGTGGAACATTAGATTTCCAAATCTAATTCCAAATTGATCCACCGCCGTCCAGTCTAGTACTACAAGCGCCCCCTGAATACATCTCACATGTGTTTCTGTCGCCAACCTGTAGGCACTTTTGACAGTAAAATTCCCATGCGGCTCCAGAAACCAGCCGATGAAGTCCTGCCGGTTCCTAGGAGACGTATGTATCTTAAGAATCTCAGCAACATCCATTGGCCAAAAATGCTTCTCGACACGGTCTCTGATCCAAGCAGCATTATTATCTAAGAAATCAGAGACACGGTTAAACCGGCAGTTCCTTTTAGGTGTAATTGGTCGAAAATCGTATCGTCGAGGAATCCAAGGATCTCTCCATGTTCTAACCGATGCACCATCACCAATCCTCCGTATTATTCCTTTCTTAACGAGATCCAAACCATGAGCTATTCCTTTCCATACGGCCGATGAATTTCCAGTGAAAACCGTATCCAAGATACTGCCGTGTGGAAAATATTTTGCCTTCAACAAACGGGTACATAAACTGTCAAGGGAATCAATCAATCGCCACGCTTGTTTTGCCAATAACGCTTGATTAAAAGCACACATATCCCTGAATCCCATACCCCCCTTGCTTTTAGGGAGTCTCAGCTTATCCCAACTCAGTCATGCCATTTTTCTCTTGCCTCTTTCAACTCCCCACCAGTACTGCCTCATCATCCTTCTCAGATCGTCACATACCGAAGCAGGTAAACGAAACATGCTCATAATATATGTGGGAATAGTCTGGGCTACAGATTTGATTAAAATCTCTTTGTTACCTGAAGACATTAACTGCTCGCTCCAGTCCACTAGTCTCTTCCTCAATCTTTCCTGGGTGGTTTCAAACCTCCCTTTATGCATTCTCCCCTCAGGTACCGGCAAACCCAAATATTTGGGTTCAAACGCTTCACTTGTAATCTCCAAAATACTCTTTACTTCCCCAGATACCAGCTCAGTGCAGTTACTAGAGAAAATGATGGAACACTTTAACGGATTTATAAGTTGTCCTGTAGCCTGCGCATAAGTGCTCAACAAACCTTTCACAATTGTTGCTTGCTGTTCCAAGGCTCGAAAAAAACAATAGTGAATCATCCGCAAATAATAAGTAAGATATCATCGGTGCACGACGACAAATTTTAACACCTTCCAGCCCCTCCTCCGTAATTGCTTTGTTGACCAAACAAGATAGGGCATCAGCAACAAAGAGAAATAAAAACGGGAACAATGGATCACCTTGTCTGAGGCCACGAGAGGGTGTGAAAGACTCCAATAATTTCCCATTCAATTTCACCCAATACTTTACAAAGGAAACACATGCCATGATCCAAGAAATCCACACATGAGAAAAACCTCACTTGTGTAGGGCCTTCTCCAAGAATACCGTTACATCTTCAATGATGAATGCTTGTGCCGGTTCCTCAAGAAAAAGTGAATCGGGTTTTTCGATTTACATAACACAGACTTCAGATGAAAGAGACATAGGTGCAACATGAAAATCCAAGACATAAACACAAACCGCAAACCTATTCCACTGGAGGAAAGTGGCGACTAAGGGAATCTCTAGCCGCGCCCCAGGAAGACCTTCCCAGGCGATTTTTTCGCGCCGGGCCAAAAAAACGGCCCAGTCGTGCCCCCAGGAGCCCGATTTTTGCTGGCCTGGGCCGAAAACAGCGCCGGCGGACCCAGGCCGAACCCGGCGCGCTGGGGGGCGCCCGGGGGCGCCGGGGCAAACTGTTTTGGCGCGAAACAGTCGCGGGCTCGCCGCGTCAGCGACACGGCGCCTTGTCTTCCCCCAACGGCCTCGGTTCCCGCGGGGAATCAATGCCAAGGCTGCCGCAGGTCAGCCTTGCCATTGATTCCTCACGGCCGGCGCGTCATGGGACGGCGCACCGACGCCTCCCCTCCCTCGCACGCGTACACACGGGTGCGGCGCGGCTATATAGCCGGTGGCCTGCACTCGCCTGTGCCCACACCAGCCCCGCCCCTCGCCGCCGCCCAGCTCCTCCCTCTCCCTACCTCTCCCGAGCGCCGCCGCCCAGCCCCTCCCTTTATCTCTCTACCTTTCCCGAGCCCGTCGCCATGGCGGAACGCTTCCCCGGAGACGAGGCGGCGGCCAACGGCTTCGGCCGCCGTTCGCTCCGCGAACAGGAGTCCTGGCACCTGTTCCAGGCGAACATCCCGGCGCCGCCGGACATGCGCGCCGGGCCGACGGGGTGGAGGCTCAGCGCCGGGGGAGTGCCCATTCCCCCGTTGCCCGACGCCGTGGCGAAGCCGAAGTACTTCGCCGAGGAAGTCGAGGTCGTGCGCGCCTCCCTCACCGACGCCCAATTCTCCCTCCCCCAGTACGCCGCCGACAACCACGCGGCTTGGGCGGCGTATTTCGAGCATAATTGGTTTGCTGCCAAAAATTGGCAATGCCAATGTTTGGCATTGTGCCAAATATTGGCAACTACTTGGTTGGCTACGAGTTGTTTTGCCTCTCTCACATAAATTTGCCAATAGTTGGCAAGTCTCGGTATTGCCAATAGTTGGCAGTGCCAACATTTGGCAAGCCAAAAATTGGTAGCAAACCAATTATGCTCTTCAAGCGCCGCCAGCAGCAGCGCTTGGCGTCCATCAACGGCGCGTCGGTGGTTGGCGGCCGGCAGAACAGCGAGGGGCGCCACCTGTGGTGGGGCGTCCCCGGCCGCACACTCGAGGGCGTGTTGACGTACCTCGAGGGCGGCAACGACCCGCCGTTGGCATACCCGGCGAGGGCGGCCGCCCCGGCGCAGCATCGACGCGTCGGGCCATGGGCACCAAGGAGGTTCGGGTCCTCCTCCTCTTCTTCCTCCTCCCGATCTTCATCGCACTCCTCCGGCACTCCGGCCTTGCTCGGCGTCAAGGCCGAGCCCGCGGTGGAGACGCCGCTCGGCCAGCGCACTCGCAGCGCCGGCATCGTCATTAACGAGGGCGGCCGGCGTGCCTACTCATCGGCTCCTCCTCCGCGCTTCGTCAAGCCAAAGACGGAGCCGGGGCTCGCGCCGGTGAAGAAGGAGCCGGCCGCGCCGGTGACGACGGAGCTCGACGACGATGACGCGGCCCTGGAATGGGCGCGCAGGGACTCCATAGCGATGGAGAAGGAGCGCCTGGAGAAGGCGAAGGAGCGCCAGCGCACCGCCCTGCTTCGCTTCGCGGAGCGTCGACGCGGCCGCGACGAAGGCGGAGTCATCGTCATCTGCGACAGCGACGACGACGACGACGATGCGCCGCCACCAGTCCGCCATGGCGACGCCGGGCAAGGGTCCAGCAGGGGCGCCTGCGTCAAGGAGGAGAAGGCCGACGACGACGATGGCGGCGACTTCAACCAGTTTTTCCTTTAGATTAGTTTATGTATATGTGCTATGTAATGAAAATCCGTGAACTTCGCCGAAATGTGCCGAAATTTATCGTGTTTGGCCGAAATTTATTGTGTTTGGCCGAATTTTATCGTGTTTAAGCCGAACTTCTTTTATTTTAAAACGTGCCTGGGGCAGCCCTGTGGCCGACGGCTGGGGACCAACTCGCTCCAGACCCAATTTTTACGCCGGCTCACCCCCAGGCGGCGATTTTAGGCGCCCCCTGAAGGGCCAACGGCTGGAGATGCCCTAACACTCTCATTTGCTCATCCTAAATTCCTATTGGAGCACCGTTTCCTTAGTTTCGTGATTTCATCTCATGTCACCCACAGACAAATGGACCCCACATTTTTGAAGGTGAGGAACAAATCTCCTTGTCGCCCCATCCACTCGTTTGAAGCAGCAAAGAAAAGCAAAGCGAGCTTCCCGCATGCTGCTGAGATCTCTTTTTGGTAAAAATGCCGATCTTCTGTGCTAATTCTCTTGGAATTTCGCCAATCCGAACGGGGCCTCAGTTCAAATCCTCCATTTTTCTACCGCATCCAAAGCCCCCCTACTCGGCCAGCACCCCTTGCCGAGCAGCAGCAACACCGGCCACCTCGCCACCCATGGCCACGGCGGCGAGCGGCCCGCAGCTCCTGGAGCCGGGCCAACCCCGGCGCCGCCGCCCCGTGTGCGCCGTCTGCACGAAGCCCCTCCGCGTCTGCCTCTGCGGCCGCCTCCGCGGGCCCCCGCTGGACACCACCGTGGGCGTCACCGTGCTGCAGCACCCCACGGAGGCCCGGCACCCGCTCAGCTCCGTCCGCGTCGCCCGCCTCGGCCTCCGCAACCTCGCCAGGTCGCCGACGTCGCCCACCGCGCCAGCTTCCTCCTCAGGACGAATCTTGGACTTGAGGGCGGAGAAACTGAAAATGTTGTTGAAGCCGGTGCCGCCACTGGAGAAGCTTGGACGGTGGAAGCCATGGACAAGTGCTCCATCGCTTACACGGAGAAGCAGCTCATAATCGACATCGAGCGCGGCGTCGGCGCGAACCCCAAGATCAGATTGCTGTCACTCGCCGTCTCGAACGGCTTCACCGTGACGAAGACACAGGAGAACAAGCCCACACGCAGCACAGGCGAAGAAGCCTCGCCGTCGCCGGAGCTCCAACATGAGTACTCCATCGCCATACCGCCGCACTCGGCCCTGCTGTTCCCATGCCAGCGCGCGACCACCATCGACGCAGCTTCAGACTGCCAGGTACTAGTGAGGCATCTGATCGTGCTGGACGGCACCTGGGCGAAGGCGCACCGGATGTACCATGAGAACCCATGGCTGCAGCTCGTGCCGCACGTGAAGGTGGAAGCAGATAGGGTCAGCCTATACGGCGAGGTGAGGCATGAGCCGACGGCCGGGTGCCTGTCGACCATCGAGAGCATCGTCGTCGCCATGAAGCAGCTCGGGGAGGACGAGACGGAGTTGGATCGTGTCCTCGCCGTCTTCGAGTCCATGATCGCCGACCAGCGGCGCTGCAAGGATGAGAACTGGAAACCAAAGCTCGAGTCATAGTAGTAATTTCTCTGGACTTCTTCTGGATGCAGTTTCAGTCCAGATGTTGTTTTCTGAATCAACATTTCGTATCATACTTTTTTTTTTAAAGATACAGCAAAATGCTGGCTTGATTCGATTTAGCAGGAAGCAACGGAAGAACAATATGATAAAGATCCGAAGATCAAAGAAAAAGAAAACGACAGCCCTAATAGCTGCCGAGCTACCCACCATAGACAACACGACTACAAAGAAAAAGGGGCCTGTCCTAGGCTAAGCATCACTGCCGCGTCTCTTGACCAATGCCAATATCCTCCGAAGACAGTAGCAGCTCCAACTGAGACTTTCTTTGTCAACGCACCATCTACCCTTGAAGTAGAATACAGGCAGATGGCGGAACTCAGTCGATCCCAGAAAAAACTTCGTCTTGGACTTATCAGCGATGGCATACATTGCGCCTGAAGCTTCACCAAAAACAGCGGCGAGCACCGGAGGAGTGCCACATAGAACCTCCAAGCAGTGTCTCAAAAACGTGATGCTTCCAACAGAGGAACGACGTCGGAGACGCCGCCATCACGCCGATCCGGCTCCGGACCTAGGCTTTCGCCCGGAGACACTACCAACCAAGCCCGAGGAAGATGCCGACACACCTCGGTGGCGCCTCCAAGGAGGAAAATGACACCCTCAGGCACCATCAGCACCGGCTCTTGTTGTGCAGGACCTTCGTCCGTATCGTCGCACACCTCCGCTCAAGCCCTTGGGAGCTCGTCCATGTCCGACTCACACCGTCGCCGCCGCAGCACCTTGTTGTTGAAGTCGTGAAGGCATGGTCCACCTCCCCACGGCGAGCATGCAGAGGCCAGATCGGGCCCTGCATCCTGCATCTACCACGGCTGGAGCCTCCCTGCTCCAGCAAGTGCAGCCCTCCCAAATCCAGCGCGGCCCGTCAGTGCCCTCGACGCCTTCCACTCGTCGCCCTCCGCGGCGCCCACCTCCGCGCCAGGCCAGGAGCAGCACGGGGCGGAACTCGGGCCCTCGTGGAGGCAGCGCGCCAGATCTGCGCCACTGCCACCGCCGGCCAGATCCGCACCGGCCCTCCTCCCGACGCCCTCCTCCTCCTTCACCGCGACCCCTCTCGGCGCCCTCCTCCTCCACCTCGCCATCTCCCTGGCGCCGCACCAAATCCGCTCACAAGGATGCGCCGCTCGTCGCCGCAAGCCGCGGAAACAACCGCCCACCACCCGACGAAGCCTCCTCCAGCAGCCAACCATAGAACGCCTCCGACCCGAGGAGATCCGCCGTCGGGCCGCGCCCCGCCGCGAAGCTGGCCGTCCCGCGCCGTCCTGGCGCCTCGCGGGGAGGGGAAGGGCCCCGCCGCCGCCGACGTACGCGCGGGCTTTGCCCGGCGCCGTCCCCTGGCGGCGGCGAGGGAGGGGGGCGAGGGTGGAGGAGGGCTGCGGCAGCGGGCTGTGTTTTTCGCCCGGCCGCTCGCGGGAGCGGAAGAGCGACTATGACATCTGCGTGTGGTTTGACGCCATTTCGTATCATACTGAGCGGTTAAACATGCCAACTATGACACAGGGTACATGTTCTCATTGGTTAACCCATATACAGCAAAAAGCTTATCAGGTTATGGTTTAGCAAGTAGTCTTACACACACATATATACACATACAGTACTACTACATGGCAAGCCCTTTTCAGACTAAGTTATATATGGACCCGAATGATCGTCTCAAGGGGACATGAGTATCTTCCTGAACTCGCGGCTGCTGCTGTCCTGGACGCACTGCGAACCAGCCAGCGAGGTTATCCACACATCATCTGTTCTCACAGGCTCTTCGTCGTCGTTCCTGTGCCAAGTCCAGTGCGCGTGCGTGGAGTTGACAATCTTCAGCTCACCGTGCCCAAAGCTCGCTTCCCGGAAGACCGACCAGAGTGGTTTCGGATTATGGTACCTGAAGATAGATACCAAGATAGACATATCAATCTAGTGGCACTAAGGCGATTTGGATTCAGATGCATTAACAACAAGGAGGGCAAAGGTACCTGCGGGCCAAGCCTTCCCGGTTTCCACCATCGCCGATCGTTATATGAACAGCGCCACATGGATCAACCCCACCTTTGTAGACTCGCTCCTGCACAAACAGCGAAATGATCATCTGAAACCTTTACATAAATAAATTACATGGCCAGAGGCACAAATTTGAACAGTGCTGCGATACTGGTGATCTGCAAGGAGTCATACCGTGCGTTCATAGGCGTGCACGTGACCTGCGATTATAATATCCACATGAGCGGCATGTAGCAAAGGCTCCATCGCGTTCATCATACTGTCACCTTCACCCTGATGAGCCCAGTTGCTGTTATACCATGGCACATGCAACAGAACAACGAGCCACGGGGTCCTCTTTCTATCTATGTTGGCAAGATCAGCCTGTAAAGCAGAAAAGGTGGTCTTCTGTCAGTAAAAATGACAAGGGTGATTTAACTTTTAAGCTAAGCACATCGTGTTTAACGTAAAATGGAAGAATACACCGACAAAAAGGTTAACATAAGTTCCGAGTGTAGGTGTAACTATGAGCGGTCACTCTACCTTTCTAGCAGAGTACTAAGTACTAAAGAAATACTTTAATTCTTTAGGAGAACGTCTTAAATGATATTCAGAAACTAGCAGCAGCCGCAATGCAATATGACATGGAGTAAGGAAGTTACGAACCTTAAGCCAAGCATACTGATCTGAACTCTCATCATAATCTGTATAAGAGCCTAGCATTATAACATGCACCCCTGCAACCTCAAATGAGTAGTACAAATTTGATGTGGAGCCACTCTCTTCATAAGGCATCTTCCATCGTGCATTATATGATTGAAATCCAGACTTCAAAAATGGTATCCTCTCCTTTTCATGGTTGCCTTGTGTCACCATCCAGGGCCGGGTGCTAGCAAGTGGCTCCACCAACTCACCAAAGGAATCCCACAAATGTTGCATATAATCAGCATATGAGAGATCACCGGGAAGTAAGAGCATGTCATATTCACATTGCTTAATGTGGTTTAATGTTGATGTTGTCCAACTGGTCTGCCCGAGATCGCCTACAACAGCCAATGACAGCGGGAACTGGGAAGGGGGTGTCTTAAGTTGGAACTCTGAACCTCGTCCTCCGCATCGGTAGTAGTATATAGTGTTGTCTTCAAGAGGTCCAATAACAACATGGTGGATCTTTCCCGAGCTGTACATCAAGTAGCTGTAGGACGTGCTTTCTCCATTAGATGAGGATGTGTATGTGTTGGACTTAGTTCCATAGTCCACAACTGAGGGGACAGAGTTGTCATCTGTAACCCATGTAATTCTCATGTGCTTCTCTCCAGATAGCGAAATGTGCACCTGTAAAACATATTATAGCATAGAGTTCAGCGGTTGATGAACTTGTAGTAGCAAAAAATTGTCTAACACCAAAGCTATGAATGAGGACTTTGGAAGTGCTGGAGGATAACACACAGGATCTGGTACATAAAACTGTAAACTTCTGGGATCAAGTGAATTCAGGAAACTGAACATTGTGGAACTAGACGCGTTCCGGGTATCGGCCCCAACGCAAAGAAATAAATCTGTCCGGGACAGGGATAGATTAAATTAACTGGAAGGTAAATGAGCCTGTGTCTGTGTGTAAGGACAAACATAGATAAAATACTACTATGTGACACGATCAAATACAAAATCAAGATGCTGCCAATTCAACATAACCTGCAGTATGCATAGTTCCATCATCTGTACTTGTGTATGACAAATTGATCAGTTCAATCCAGGCTACATGGCATATATAATTAGAATAGCACACACGCACAGTAGTCTCAAATACTCAATAGCACACAAAAACATTGAACCTCAGTATCAAAATACACTATCATCCAAGATTGAAATTAAGATATGTCCAGCAAATTGTCAAACTAGACATCTGAGGACAACTAGGGGTCTAATAAGACACCCACTGTTTAGTACTACTAGTTCAGAGCTGATCTATGGTGAATTGTAGTCCTACTATTTTCTGGGCGACGAAACAGAGCTAAATAAATTCACCATACAATAGATCAGCTCGATCCTGTAATTTAATCAAGAAACGGCCAGCCACAACACCGAATCGTCCATTCAGCTTACAATCACAGGAAGAAATAACCTCGGAACGATCTAGCCGCTAGCTCGCAGTCTAATCAAGAAAGAAAGAAAGAAAAAGTCCATTTCTTTTCTTCCCAAAGCGTCGCCAATCCCCTTGGGATGGACCGATTCAAGAGCGACGAGCACGAAATCGGGCAGGCGAAGAGAGGTCACGTCACCTGCTGGGGGTCGGAGGCGGAAGCGGAGGCCTTCTTCTTGCTCCAGGGGAAGAGGCCGAGGAGGGCCTTCCGCTGGCCCCCGCGGGGCCGGGCCGGCGGCCGGACGTAATCCTCCCCGACCGGAGCCCGGGAGGCGGCGGCTGCGCCGCAGGAGGACAGGGCGAGCATGAGGAGGAGGAGCACGGGCGCCGCCATGGGAGGCCTCCTCCGCGCTGCGCCCGGGGGTTCCATCGCACCGCCTGGCTTGCTCAGTGCTCTCTGGTGGTTGGAGGCTTGGGGCGCTGCTGCAAGCAACCTGGTGGTTCTCTTTTTTCTTTTCCTATTCTGTGTGAGCGCGTTTGCCATGATTTCAAGGTTGCCTTTTAACATGTCAAAAAAAGAAAAAGGGTTGGCTTTTCGAAAAGATTTTAACTAGTGCCACCTCCTATTCATGATAACATTGATTAGTTTTGGATTTTATGAGGTTAACATTTGTATGTTTGGCCACTTATTACTATCACAAGAAAAATATCTAAATAATATACTTTCATATTGCATAACTATATTTATGCGAAAAGGCAACTTGTGTTGCCCATGAATTGATGGTCAAAATATCATCTTCAAGACCATGTTATGTCATAAAAGATGGATTATATAGTTAGTAAAATACGCAAATAAATCTATGCTCGACGCCGACCGGGCTTTTGGGACCAATCATTGAAACCGTGGTGGCCATGATTACATGGCTCTTCTTTTTATTTTTATTTTGACAAACTTTTTATTTATATTTATTTTTGGAAAACGATCGGATAGCTAAGAATCTCATATCGTGTAGCCGTAAGTCTCCTTAGTTGAAACACATGGTTTAGGGTTTTGCGTGGATGGTTGACATCCAGCTTCACGTCTCAATATATAGATGATCACAATTACAATTACATATGTATACAAATACGTGTACAAGGACAATATACTAGACCCTACTTTATATGTCCCCTCAATCTGAACTACATACAAGATTCAGATTGGTTCTAAAACGGTCTACCATCTGTCTAGTAGCGGGTTTAGTAAATACATCCGCTAACTGATCATCTGTAGAAATAAACCTGACTTCCAGTTCACAAGCAGTTACTCGTTCTCTCACAAAATGGAAATCAATTCAATGTGTTTAGTCCGAGCATGAAACACTGGATTCGCCATCAGGTAAGTTGTTGTAACACACCGGATGTAATTTACCTTATTTGTACTCCAACTCTTGCCGTTTTCGGCACTAAGTTATGATATTTTTCCTCGTTCCTGGGTTTTTGTCTCCGTGTGTTTTGTCTTTGTCTTGCATCTCATATCATGTCATCATGTGCATTGCATTTGCATACGTGTTCGTCTCATGCATTCGAGCATTTTCCTCGTTGTCCGTTTTGCATTCCGGCGCTCCTATGTCACCCGGTGCCCCTTTCTACCTCTTTTCGTGTGCGGGTGTTAAACGTTTTCGGATTGGACCGAGACTTGCCATGCGGCCTTGGTTTACTACCGGTAGACCGCATGTCAAGTTTCGTACCATTTGGACTTCCTTTGATACTCCAACGGTTAACCGAGGGACCGAAAAGGCCTCGTGTGTGTGTTGCAGCCCAACACCCCTCCAAACTAACCCAAAACCCACCTAAACCTCCTCCATCATCTAGAGCATTCGATCACGATCGCGTGGCCGCAAACCATGCTCAATTTGGAGCCTCCTAGCTCACTCTACCTATATATATAGCTCTCCTTCCCGAAATCACGGGCGAAACCCTAACCATTTTCCCTCTCCGCGGGCCGGACGTGTCCGGTCCGCGTCGGACAACCCCGCCGCCACCAATCACGCGCCGCCAAGTGTCAGCACGCCCACATCACCGCTCTCTCCGCCGCCGGCCCGCAGAGGCCCGTAGCGGGGCCCCGGGCCCAGACGCCGCCTTCCCGCCGCCTGGCTCGCAGCGCCGCCCCACTCCCCCCGCCGCCTCGCCGGGACCGCCCGACGCCGCGGCGCCTCTCGCCGCCACCGCAGAGGAGCCGTCGCAGGGGGCGCCGCCCCGCCGTCCGGACTCCCCTGTCGCCGGCGCACCTCCTCCTCGACCTCCGAGCTCCGGCCCCGGCGACCTCTACTCCAGCGACCCCATATTCTCTAGCGAACCTCGGGCAACGTGCGCACGAGTGAGGACAAAGTGCGCAGAAAAGACTAGTATTGATCTGCGGGGCCAGTCTAAATCCCGCCAGGAGTAACGACTACCGGCGGGTGTGTCCGGAGTGTTACAGTTGCCCCTAAGTTATCACACCACAATATAGGAGTGCGCTGCCATGGGACTCCAAGTTCTGTGAGAACTGAGTCTATCCAAATGGCTTCAGCCGCGCCATTGGCCAATGCCTTATACTCTGCCTCGGTGCTTGACCTCGAGACCGTGGGTTGCTTCTTCGAGCTCCAAGATACAAGATTGGGTCCCACAAATATAGCAAAACCATCAGTAGAGCGCCTATCATCAACACAGACTGCCCAGTCTGCATCAGTGAATATACTCACTCTAGTAAATCTAGACTTACGAATCTGTAGTCCCATGTCTAGCATACCTTTGACATATCTCAGAATACGGTTGACTGCTTCCTAATGATCCTCCGTTGGCTGAGACAGGAACTAACACACTTTGTTCACTGCGAAGGAGATATCAGGACGAGTGAGGGTCAAATACTGAAGTGCTCCAACCACACTGCGATACCGAAAGGAGTCATCTCTACCCAGTAGTGCACCACTATGACGTGAGAGACTCTCGGATGTAGGAAGCGGAGTGGAAGTGGCCTTGCAGTTCTCCATGTTGACGCGGTGAAGAAGGTCCAAAGCATACTTTTTCTGCGTCAAGGTCATGCCCCCTGAATGAAAGGACGCTTCCAAACCAAGAAAGTACTCGAGGTGACCCAAATCTTTGATGGGAAAGCTAGCAGACAACGACTGCACAAGACGATCCACCACGGCGGGGGTAGAGCCAGCAATCACAATATCATCAACGTACACCAGCATGTATATCTGTATAGCACCCTAAGAGAAGATGAACAAAGATGCATCTGATTGGGAGGCAACGAAACCGAGTTGCGAAGGGCGCTGACTCAAACGAGCATACCAGGCACGGGGCAACTGCTTGAGACCATAAATAGATCGCTGAAGTTTGCAGACATGAGAGGGATACGTGGCATCCTCGAACCCGGGTGGCTGCTGCATATACACATCTTTGGCCAAGAACCCATGTAAAAAGGCGTTGCTCACATCAATCTGTCGGAGGCTCCAACCACGGAACACAGCAAGAGACAGAACCAAGTGAACTGTGGCAGGCTTCACCACCGGGCTAAATGTATCTCCATAGTCAATCCCATGCTGTTGAGTGAAACCGCGAGCAACAAGACGAGCTTTGTGCTTATCAACAGACCCATCCGAATGATGCTTGGTTTTGAAAATCCACTTGCAGCTCACAATATTAACACCAGGTGGCCGAGGCACCAAGACCCAGGTGTTAGTGTGACAGAGAGCAGCAAACTCCTCGGACATGGCGGCATGCTAGGCAGGTTCACCCAGAGCATCACGATGGGAAACTGGTGCGGTGAAGAAGGCACGGCGGCGAGATTCATACCGAACCGTGCCATCAGTGTAAGACTTCTCCTTGCGCATATGATCACGATGGCGTGTAACCATAGCATGCACCAGAGATGCATCGCCAGTAGGAGAAGACGGTGGCGACGAGGGCTCGACCGAGGGTGTCGCGGCTGAGGAGACCTCACCATGAGGCGACACGGGCCGAGAGACGACGGTGGGCTGGACCGGCCCAGGCAAAGGTGGTGGCCCGAGCGACGCACCGGGCGAGGGTTGCAACCCAGCCGCATCCACGGTCGCGCCATCTGGCGAGGCAGCCGCGCCTGCCTCGGGCGGCGGGACATGCACGTCTTGAGCATGCACGTCGGGCTCATCAGGAGGCGGCGGAGCAACAACATGTACCTGAGGGGAACTCAAAGCAATAGCACCTGCAGAGGACAAGTTAGGTGACAAATAGGACACGTCATATTTACGCACATGGATATCCGGAACCGGTTCATCAGAGGGAAAAGTGAGGGCATGTTCAAGAGAAGCAGGATCAACTGAGACGCTGGGTAGGGAGTAAGGAAACACAGTCTCGTCGAAAACAACATCACGAGAGATGTATATCCAACCGAAGGTACGGTCAGGACACTTATAGCCCTTATGCAAAGGACTATAGCCAAGGAAGACACACATCTTGGAACGGAACTCAAGCTTGTGAGCATTGTACTTGCGGAGACTAGGCCAACAAGCACACCCAAAAATCCAAAGGGAGGACTAGTTGGGTTGAACATGAAACAGACGAAACAGAGGGGTGTCCTTGTTGAGAACCGGAGTGGGCATACGGTTGATGAGGTAACATGCCATAAGAAAAGTCTCATCCCAAAAACAAAGTGAAAGAGAGGAGTGCGCAAGCAAGGCAAGGCCGGTCTCAACCAAATGTCGGTGTTTGCGCTCGGCAATACCGTTCTGCTGAGAGGTATATGGACATGACAATCGGTGAGAGATGCATGTGCGTTGAAAGTAGCGATGGGGTTTGTGGTATTAACCACCCCAGTCGGACTGAACGACCTTGATTTTATAATTCAGAAGGCGTTCGACATGAGCCTGAAAGTTGTAGAAAACTTGCTCAACATCAGACTTGTGTTTAAGCAAATAAATCCAGGTGAAGCGCGTATAGTCATCAATAGAACTAACATAATACTTGTACCCTCCCGACGAGGCAAGAGCGGGACCCCAAACATCTGAATGTATTAATTCAAGAGGTACAGTAATGATATGAAACGAAGTAGAATAAGGTAGTTGATGACTCTTAGCACGCTGACAGGCATCACAAACTAATGATAAATTATTTGAACTAAAACATGGAAGTTCATGACTCCGAACAATGGAAGTGACCACATTATTTGTAGGATGACCAAGACATTGATGCCATTGTGACGATGAAACTCGAACACTAGAGGAGGTATGGCGAGACGATGAAGATGACGCACGAGCGAAGGGGACCGGATAGACCCCCCCCCCCCGGTAACTTCTATCGTGAAGGATGGTTGCTTTGTCCTTAACAAGGAAAAAACGACGGTGAAATTCAACAAACACGTCATTATCACAAAGAAGACGATAAACAGAGAGAAGATGCTGACTGATGTGTGAAACATGAAGGATATTATGCAGTTTAAGAGATGAACCGGGTAAACGCGAATGACCAATGTGTGAAATAGACAAACCTGCACCATTGGCCACCCGAACCTGATCCTTGCCGTCATAGCGCCCGTGAACCTGGAGGCACTCAAGATCATTAGTCACGTGATCCATAGCCCCGGCATCCAGCACCCAAGGAAAGTCGACGGTGTTGGTGGAGGCCGAGTTGGCGGAGCGGGAGTTGTGATCCTGATCATAGCGCTTGCGGCAGTCGTCGGCTTCATGGCCCTAGTTCTTGCAAATTTGGCACCGGGGACGCCAGCGGTTG